TCTGTATGCAAACTACAAAGTAGGGGGTGGATCCAAAAAATGCAGTATCGTTTGAAATACTGTCTGTAGCGCATTTCGATTACACATCAAAAGTCAAACTGTAGAAGTTTGAAAATCTATCCAATCAAACCAGGTATAGGTGAGTTGAAAATGTAAAAATTAATGTTTTGTTTCTGCTGTGTCAGTATAAGTAGAAGAGGTAGATTATATTTTTTGACATCAAAATCCAACATTGCCTAATTAATCTTCTACTCAACCATCACTGTTTCGTGATCCCCAAATGACTTAAATTTAACACACACGTTATCATATTATATGAAAAAATACTTTGTGGTCAGTGGAAGGGGAGATATGGATAATACCGAACCCCTAAGGACTTGGACTTATAATTAGGACAATGTTTGATATTATAGAAAAAAATAGAAAGAAATTGCAGTGATCAGTAGAAAATTCAGTTAATTACGCATATCGTATAACAAAAAGATCAAAAGTTTGAACATAAAGTAATTATTGTGAAATTATAAAAAACTGAAAAGGCCTGGTATTATCAAACTGGTCGGATAATATTGTGCCTAGGATTGGTTAAATCGTGCCCACGTTGAAAACGTACAACTCGATAAGTAACTATAGTGGTAATGAAAAAACTAATACAATTTCATGTTTGTGAAAATGAGGAGACTCAAATTATTTTTGTCTCTAGAAATATAATCACTATCTAAAGTATTACCGTATCAGTAAGTAAAACTTATAAACATATATCATTTTCTTTATAGCCACAAGCCTTAGTTATTTTTTGAATCAAATATTCCATCTGCTGAAAAATTATGCTTTGTCATGGGTGCCTTTAGTTTAGCAAAAAAAGGCTATTTCTGTTTTATTGAATCCCAAAATCCGGTTAAAACCTGTTGACTCGGGAGCCTTAAAGAAATTCCGGGATTTATTTCCAAAAAAGTATGCACACAACATTTTCCAGCCATTCTTTTCACGGACGAGAAATTATGTTTGATGATTTTGCAACGGCGAAGTCATGTGCCAATTTACGCAACTGTTGCTGGGTAAAACTTATTTGCCATTAGAGTAATAATTGAGATCATTTCAAACTCTTCTTCTTTAGAAAATGTGACCTTCCTTCCCTTATGGGGGGTTTATAATTTTCTCGTAACTTAAGTCGATCTCTATAATTGTTGATTCAGGTATATTAGAGTTTCTTGCAACTGTTTTTATTTTATGAAGAATGAGAATTAAAAGTTCCAATGTTTTTTAGCACCTTTAGTTGTAACTACCGTTACTTCAGTTCTTTCTATATAAGGACGAAAGGTCCTGTAATGTATAATGTATTTGAATTGAAGGGGTTATATTTTTTTAGGAGTGATTAATTTTTGGGAAAGAAAGTTTTTGGCTTTCTACTACTCCATCTTGATACAAAAAAAAAGAAGAAGGATGAGGGAGTCTTCCAAAGAAAGGAAGGAAGTAACTCTATACATGGATGTGTAGATCATGCAAAGAAGTAACTTTCAGACACAAACTGAAAGAAAGGGTTCCTGAAACAGCTATTTTCATATAAACATTGAATAATTCGGAAGAAAAAATTCTTTCGAAACAAATACTTCTATATGAACACTGAATTATACAGAAGATACTTTTCTCTACTCAGTTTGTATTTCAAACATTCTTGTGGAATAAAAATTAGATATCATTCACATGAGTTCTACTTTAAATGAATGGTAACAAATTGCACTTACATAGAACACTGCCATCCTCACTGGTATACACCGATGTTTCGCCTTAAGATACTTGCCCCAAGGCTCTTCAGTACCAAATTGGATAAAATTATAGAAAATACACACACTTCATTCATGAATTACGATTTTTTAATGTCACGGAATAATCTTGATCTGCTTATGTCATCGATGACATCGTAATGACATTCATTCACCTATTTGTATCAAGATGGAGTAGTAGAAAGCCAAAAACTTTCTTTCCCAGAAAGTATAATGTATATAATGTATACATGTATTGTATGTATTATATATGTATAATGTATACATTATATTCCTTATTTCTCATTATACATCAATGTATAAGTTTGAAAATGTTCTTATAGGATGAAACTGCATTAACGGTAGTTACAAATATAATTAGTAAAAAAACATGGGAAGTAGTTATTCCAATGTTTCATTATCATCTCCTACCACGTAGGATCACCATCAATTTATTGTTTTTATTTGACTTCCGTTTCGTGTAGCATCAAGTGCAGCCTTCATGTTTTCTGGACTTCCCTTTTTTTTTGCACAGATACATCAATCTAAAACGAAAATACACTTATCTCATCAAAATTGGACCATTTGTCTAGGGGCTACAATGACACGGACAGACACACAGAAAAATGTAACTTTTATGGTGGATGTTGAAAGTTAATGTAAAAATAACACTATTTTCATTGTTTACAATTTCGCGAAATTGTCATCATTTCATTTTATAACCTCAAAATAATATAAAAAAGTAAATTGTATGTTAAAAATTATTCTGACATTACTTCTACAGTGTACTAGCTTTGAAAATGTATGGATACGATGTATCATAATATAAATATGTTCAATTTGGAAGAGTTATATTTTTGGGAGTGCCTAATTTTTGGGAAAGAAATTATTTGGCTTTCTATTACTCCATCTTGATACAGAAAAATGAGGGGAACTTCCAAAGAAAAGAAGGTAGTAATCAATTTCAAAAGAAGTAACACTTTATACATAGATATATAGTTCATGCAAAGAAGTAACTTTCAGACACAAATCTGGAAGAAAACGGCTTCCTGAAACAGCTACTTTCACATGAACATTGAATTACACGAAAGAAAAATTATTTCGAAACAAATACTTTTATATGAACACTGAATTATACAGAAAACACTTTTTTCTACTCAGTTTGTATTCGAAACATCCGTTATGAGATTGAATCAGATGTCATTCACAGGGTTTCTATACTATGTACTAAATGAAACACTGTCATGCTCACTGGTAGAGACCGATGTTTCGCCGTAAGAGACTTGCCTTAGGGCTCTTCAGTACTAATCTGGATAATATATAAGAAAAAACACACATTTCATTCATAAATTACGATTTTTATGTCAGGGAATGAGTTTGATCTATTTTTGTCATCGATGGCATCATAATGACATCCATTCACCTACCCAGCCAAAAGGAATCTTGTTTCATTTGAAAAGGTTATATTTTTAGGAGTGACTCCATCTTGATACAGAAAAATGTGGGAAGAAGGAAGGAAGTCATTGGTGAACCATCAGGATGAATAGACCTCTGAAGAAGCCAGCCTCGTGCTGGCGAAACGTTAGGATACAGTTCCAAACCACGACGACGTTCAAACCCGAACGAAGATCGTAACACTGAAAATCTTGGCTGCGAAAGCCTTAACCAATTTAAAAAGGAATATTTCTGGAAATATTGATATTAATGTGTTTGTGTTCAGGAAATTATTGAATGTTCCGCCATTTTGTAGTAGGTGAAGATATTGACTTCATATTGTAGGGTTGTAAAGTATTCGTCAGGAGCTTCAAAATGAAGTGTTACAAGGTCCCCCTTTCCATTTGATTTTTTCCCAGATGGCGCCCAGACGTCATCTTGAAAGTTGCGTCTATTAATTTCACTTCAGAATAAAGTATTCCTGCATCAATATCATTATTTTAAATTTCAATTTTTCGAGTTGACCGGTTCAGAAAATAAAAGGGACGGGACATTAAAAAATGCATTATATATGGAAACTGTGCCTGATTTCAAGGAATGTTTATAAATTGTTTCTCACAATAAATCATATACCCATCATATGCTCCTTTTCCCCGCCACTGTCCCGAAGCACCTACATCAAGAATACACATCATTTTACCATAATTATTACATGGCTTATGGCTCATGATAGGAAATATCCCCGCTGGACAAGCGAGCATAACATTATCGACGATGGCCATCAGTTAGAACGCAGGTCTGTCAAAGAACGTAGCCTGTAACGGAGTAATGACTGCCTATCATCCAATTACTTCCTATCATCAATTTCAGTCTGCAACTGGTTATGAGTGGTTTTTCGTGCTACAGAATTTCTACTGTGGCATTGAATGCCACTTGCATGATTATATTGATTGATTACCATCAATGAGTCAAAATTTTTGTGAGCATTACCTCAATACTAATCTTTTCATACCCATCTGTTTGCAGCAAACCTTTTACACCTATTACATTCCTTTCAAACTGAAATACTTTCCTACCCATCTTTCCACACCCAAGCCTTTCCACACCAGGATGTTTTCATAATATGTTCAGGGTTACCTATAAAGAAAACAAGGATCATGGTCATAGATATTCATTAAACACTGTAAATTTGTCACCTCACAAACCACAAGAGGGGACTAAATCATCTGTCGGTAACCAATGAGACAGATGGGTATCCGCGGCTAAGCTAAACAGTGGAGACGGGAGTGGGTTGAACAACTTAGCAAATTTCAAATAGATCTTAATGGGCGCCAGGTAAATTTAATCCTCCAGATACCCTAAGTAACTCACAATATCAATAACTTACCAATTAATATTGGAAATAAAAGATAAAAATCCCCAATATGATTTATTCAGTAATCCTAACTTACATGGATTAACCAACAACGCTTCTAAGACAACAATGCAATATTCACACTACTACGCGATGTTCAAATGTCCATACAAGAGCGCGGTGTATCTAACCACGAATTCAATCAGCCATAAATTACGGTAGTAACGACGCTCAAAAAACTACAATACGTCGAGTAAAACTACCACGAAAATTGAGTAGGTGAAATCGTAAATACTAGTATCGGATGGTAAGACAAACTCGTTTGCGTCGCGTGAGCTCAGGCGTAGGCGCATCGGTGTCAATCAGCAATTGTGAAAGGAAGAATATACCTCAATTTCCGTTTCACAAATATCTATATCAATCAGGTATCAATAAACAACTCTTAATCAATAAACGATAAACAACACTATATCAACAGGTATCAATAAACATAAGGGCAAACAATTATTTAAATATCTCAGTATTGCACAAATTTTCAAATAAATCAATTATAACTTGCGTGCTCCTTTTGGGCCACCCGGTATATGGTGTTAGGCTACCCTGTAGTATGGCGGAAGTGGATCACCCTGTAGTACTGCTGAGATGGATCACCCTGTAGTACGGCGGAGATGGATCACCCTGTAGCACCACCAAGATAGATCACCCTGTAGGGCACGACAAGCTGGACCAGTAATGGATCACCAAATAAGATCCAGAAAGAAAATAGGGGAAAAAAAAGACAGGAAAAGAAAAAGGAAACAGGAACGAAGACAAAAAAAAACAGGAAAAGAAAAGCAGGAAGAAAAACCCTACGGAAGAAAATTCTCAATCAGAATCAGATGAAACAAGGTGAGATTCAACCCCCATTCAATAGGACTATTTGACTAATCAATACCCCTGGTATATTTTCATCAAGCAAAGTAGCAAGATAACAAGAGTATATTTTTGGGTGCCCTGTATAACCATATGATCCGTAAAAATCAAGAAAATTGAATGAGTGTTGAAACCTCTCTTCAATACTAATATTCAGTTGAGATATAACGATGGAACCAGAAATTACTAAAATCATTTAAAACACATTTAATGGTAAAATTCTTACCCTGGCCAAGGGGTTTTCTATACGATTCTTCGTGTGCGGTGTTCTGCACGGAAGTCCTGCTGGGACTTGATGAGTGACTGAGGGCCTTCTGTTTCTTATGAATCTAGAGACGAGAAACGAAGGTTGTAGAATTGAAGAAGTGATATCATAGCTAAGATCACATGAGAGATGCGACAGTGATTCAGACATACCTAATTTCGGAAATCCTTCCACCTGGCACGAGTTCGGTATCCACCACAAATCCTCAAAAGAGCTTAAGTTTCCGACTGCAAATATCCACACCAAAATGACCAATCAGTCTTCCACTATACAATCCTGACTTGTAGAAATAATCCCCGTGAAGGATGGCACAAATACAACCAAATATATCCTACAATCAGTCTGATGATACCCTTTGAACTCCGAACCAAGCTCACCGAAGGCTAACTTCCAAATACTAAGAGAATGCCACATCTGACAGCTAACCAGTTGTTGCCACAGTGCATCCAATCTACACTACAAGCACCAAGGGGGCGCTGTGCACAACATCATAAATCTAACAATTCCTCCACAGCCACTTGATACATCATCAACAAGTCCATGACCCATCAAAACTCCTTCTCAAAGCAATGCAACCCTAAAACAACCCTTGACAACTTGAGTAACCGATCAATCCCTCACCCGTGAACAACTGTAGAACTAGTTCGGTGTAGTTCGTCGGAACGACACTACGAAAGTTCGGCGGATGTCAACCAACAGCTGTCTCTTAACCTTGTATATTAGAATGTTTACAAAAGTATTCACTCCAACCTATTTTCAACTATTTACCAATCCTTATTCATGCGATGGAATAGAAACATACAAGGTAAGTCGCCACATCCTTCCCTTTCAGTACAAATATTAGAGCATTCGTATTATGCAGAATATTTACCGAAAATATCAAACAGTATTCAGAAACCAGAGCTAACTAATGTTGTTTTTCAGGCGATATGGCTCTAATATGTAGTAATCCTTCTGGAAGTGATGAATAACAATCTATGCAAGAAATATTCTCGGAAAGGTATAGGGAATAAGGCAGACAACGGCTGAAAAAAATGATAGGTGAAGAAAACTGAGAAACAAACAATAACAACTATTTCAACCTAGCGAGGAATTTCGGATCTCCAACGTCGATTGGCAAAAGGAGAATGCGTAAGTACTGGTCAAAGCAGTTAGTCAGGGAGCATACATTTATTCTTGTACATTTCAGGTATGGTTTTCTATGGAACGGAAGATTCCCATTACTATGATGTTAAATGAATAAAATGAACTTGTAACTGAATTACATTGTTAATATCCTCTGAATAAAGATCTTAAAAGGTAAGGTAGTGTTTTTGAAAGGTCACATAAGAGCAGTTTGATCTAGTGCTAAATTGAAACGTAACAACTTCTTTGAAAATGTAGGTCGGGCACACTGACAAACCAGATGTGTCCCTAGCTGTGACGAAAAGTTCGTCATCAATAAATGACAATTCTGTCGATTCCATAGTAAATAAACGAACAATATCTACAATATTTACAAGTAAATTTAGACCGTTACAAATTCATGTGAGCAAAGGATTCTGTGCGAACATTCTGTTAGCTTTTTCCTCTAGTCTTAAGTACCGTTCCACAGTGTTCCTCAAGAGCTCCTATGAATGCGTTGCAATGTTTTCAGTGAAAATCTGTCGGATCTTCACTCTGTAAGAACCCAGGTCTATTTATAACTTTATATGCAGTTGGATGAGCAGTGCATAAAATTGACGAAAAAGCATGATGAAATGCTCAATAAGACTTGTTTGTTTTCGAAAAATGTATCAATACAACTTGAAACAATTCCAAAGAGAGATGACGAATAACGATTTTACTTTTCTACATCAAACAGTCGTTCTGATCCAGGTGCATTGTATTCGCAAAGTATTCAATGTAGTCCACTAACATATATACGAATTTGTGACAAAAATGTTTTTTAAATCAGTTTGTCGTACACTTCAATAATATATTCCTTCGAAGAACAAGCGAGAGCTACCAAGTGTTTCTTCATTGAAGAACATTCTGCGTATTTGGTACAACGTTAAAAACATCCCTATCCTTTTGAATGAGTTAGAGCAGCGTTTCCCAGCCTTTTTCAGTCCACGGACCCTTAGGAAATCAAGCACAGTTTTCACGGACCCCCTTAATAAAATAAACAGCAATAAAACGGATTAGGTATTTATTTTAGTTATTACAGATACAAAAAAAACAAATACAGGAGGTAATTATAACTTTATTATGGGAAATATATAAAAAAATTATTATGAAGGTTGTTGTTGCTTTTTTTGCAACTAAATCAGGAATATTCGAGTTGATGTTGCTACTAAGATGTAATCTCAAATCAGATTCTAATTGTAATCTGTTTCTGTATTTGTTTTTTGTATACACAAGAGTAGAGAATGCCTTTTCACATAGGTATGTGGTTGAAAAAAGCAGTAAATGTTTCAGTACTTCGTCCGATATCTCCTTATAATCTGTCTTTACATTCACCCAAAAACTTGATAGTGAAGATTCGTTGAAATTGCGTTTCAATGCTGAATCACAGGATATTTCTATTAATTGGTTTTTCTGTGCCGCTGTCAAGCCAGTAATATCAGAATAATCTGTGTTGAAAGGGTCTGATATCCAATTTTTATTTTTGTCGGGTACTGGAAAATAATCCCGAAACGAAGACCTCAAAGTGCGTAGATGTGTCACCATTTCATCTTGTACTTGTGCTGGCAATATTGCTTCACCAGAGGACTTCAAAAACGCTGACAGTGTTGGAAAGTGATTATAGTTTTTTTGAATTGTACGATTTATCCAAAGGTCAAGATTTTTTAGCATCGTTTCAATTCTATCATCAACTTGGAAGATGTTGGTATCTCTCCCTTGTAGACTTAAGTTCAACTCGTTAAGGGCACTAAATATATCAGCCATGATATATAAATATATCAGCCATCCAAAGTCATTGAAGTGATCAGCATATTTGCTGACGCTGTGTCCAGAATTCTTCAAAAAGAAGCTCAGCTCAAAAACACGCGTCACAACTTTGCCGCGAGATAACCAATGGACTTCATCGTGCAATAATAACTGCTTGTGAATGCTTCCCACTTCTTCACAAATGAAACCGAAAATACGGGAATTTAAAGGCCTAGCTTTAATAAAATTCACTACCTGCACTATGTCGTCTAACACTGTTTTTAATTGTTCTGGCATGTTTTAAGTTGCTAATGCCTCCTTATGAATGCAGCAATGATGCCAGATAATAGCTGGATTCATCTTCTTAACGCGCGCTTGCAGCTCTATTCCTGTCCCGGTCATAGCCCGAGCACCGTCGGTGCTAACTGCCACACACTTGTCCCATGTAATTTCATGAGTGTCCATAAAGTTGTTCAATACTTCAAATATTGCTTCACCTGTAGTGTGCGAAGGTAAAGGTAAACAAAATGAAAAATCCTCACTTATGCTGTTGTTGTGTTCGTAACGAACATATGCAAGCAAGTTTGCATCATTGCTAATATCTGTGATCTCATCTAATTGCAAAGCATAAAATCTGCTTGCTTTAACGTAGAAAATCAGCTATTCTTTAACATTTCCCGACAAATCATCAATTCTCCTCTTCACTGTGTTGTTTGATAACGATACAACGTCCAATTCTTTTGAAGCTTTGTCACCTAACATAGCAGAAACCATGATTTTAGCGCACGGTAAAATTAAGTCTTCAGCAATGGTGTGGGGCTTACCACTTTTTGCAACTAGCAAAGATACTTGGTAGGACGCTAATACAGCACTTTCGTTATTGGTCCCAGTAGCAGTCTTTATCATTGTTTTTTTGCTTTGTTCCAATTGCGAGGCTTTAACTTTGAAAAAGGCTTTTGATTTGTCACGATATTCCTGGTGTTTTGTTTCTAAATGACGTCGGAGTTTGGCCGGTTTCATCGACTCATTTGACAAAACATCGTAGCATATGACGCACTGAGGTCTGTCTTCCCCGTTTAAATTGGTACTTGTAAAACCGAAAGCTAAGTATTCGTCGCAAAACTTACGACGTTTAACCTTTGAAGTCGAACGTTTTTCATTTGCTTCGTCCAAAGCGGAGTCATTTGGTTTTAACCAACGTTTCATTTTCACAGGTCACAATAACTTGAAAAACGTAATTTTTTACTATTTTAATCTCGGATGCAACACAACACAAATCAAAACAATTGCACTAATCGCGGGCGGCGGGTTTAAGCGTAATTTGCGAGCAGTGCGGTGCGGTGCGGTGGGGGAAGAGTCCCGGGCCGGCGCGACGCCAGCACGCACTTGATTCACTCATATCAGAGACAACCAACGAGACGAGTAACTTAATGATAAAATTTTGATCGGTGAAAACTGCACTGGCGAATTGTAAAGAAAGCCATTTGTAGAGGGCGTGCAGTATAGAACTAACAACCCCAGACTTTAGTTCTATGACACGCAGTCAAGTTGCATAGCTTCGGCATTATTCGTGTCCTCTTCGGAAAGTTGAAAGTGTAGCGGGAAAATCCAAATATTATGCCAGGTATTCTAGACCCCCGTTTAAACTTCAGTTATAATAAAACTGGTTTGCTGATTTTTCGTTTTGCGGCCCTTTTGCATTTAATGAGCGATTTATGTATGGTCCAGAGAAGACACCGCGGACCCCCAGGGGTCCGCGGACCACAGGTTGGGAAACGCTAAGTTAGAGAATACACTGCCTGAAGTGAAAGAAAATAAACGTTTCCCTTCGAATTCGGGAACTTCTGGAGTGGAGCCTTGAAGCCCTAACGAATTCATTCATGTTGGTCTTCGGTTTTAATACCGGTTGTAGTTACCTAAGCTGTCTGGAAATCTACCAGTGTGTTGTGATGGAAGTGGAAACGACATCTTGTATTTGTTGCCATAAATAATAAATATTTGATCAAACAATGTTGACGAAGATTTGACGGTACCATCTACTATTAAAATGTCGCGTAATTGAAGATGAACTGGATATTCATGTGTGATGAATACTGTAATATCAGAAGTAGCCCCAGAGCCATGAGACAAAAATTGTTTATTGTCAAGTTGTGTAAAAGATTCCGGCAACTTGATATCCTCTCGACTTTGTGGAACTGAGAGAGAACTCCCATTCTGACACCCCACAGTTCTTGTGAACTTTGCTGTGTTTTGCTTCGAGAGAACGGTTTTTTTGCTCGCAGAAGAGATACCATCTACTGAGAAAAAAGGTTGGATTCCATGCTAATTCCTTTATTGCATTCAATACCTTTGTTACTTTAGATTTCATTGCATTTAGACTCCATTGCAAAATTCATACGAAAATATTTTCAACTGCGAAACTATTTCGGTATGAAAAGATTACTGCCAATAGATGGGTGTGGAAAGATTGGTATGGACGATCCTATGATCAACAATTTCGAATATGATGTTATCTTCAAACAAAACATAAATAATATACGATAAGACAGGTGCTCCTACTATTTTATGAATTCTTCATTTTCGTTTCTGATATTTAGTTCATTGTGGTTTTTACCACACTAGAAGGAAGCATGACAAGATGTTAATTTTTTTGTTAGCTTCAGGCACTGAAATGAGGTCAGTTTCCATTTAATTCGAAATTGCGATGCTTTCTGTCGAAAAGTTTGTTGATATGAGGCTGGGTCTATTTCCTTCTTTCAG